GCACGGAGCAAATTGAAATGAGCTTTTTTTAGAAAAAAAAACATGGTTAAATCTTCCAACTGATTCATCTTCCTAGCTAGAAACTCTCACCTGCTCTGGGAAAAATTCCACATGAAATAATTTTGTTTATTATTTCCCCGGAAGACAAACCTGGAGGTTTTCAACAACTGCATTCCAAATGTTTTGGTGGTCTGTAAATTTTTCTTCTGTCTGAAAGAAATGACTTTGCAGAAATAGAAGCTGCAATAGCTTGTATGGGAAGAGAAATTCCTGGCCAAATTCTGCACCCTGATAAATCAAAAAAAGTCATAAAAAATTGACACTGGGACTGTTCAGGTGAGAGGAAAGACACAGTTTTTAGTATTAAGTGAGATTAATGAGCTGTCACTGCTGGATGGAATGGATTCTTGATAATTTAAAGTATTTAAGTCGAGTCTGGAAGCTCTTCATAAAGATCTTGAGCAGTGATGCTCAATTCACAGAGTCACATTCCCTGACAGCTCTCCTGCCTTGGCTCAGGCACCTTCTGGGTGACACCTGGATTCCTCTACTCCTTCTACACCCCCAACAAAGAGACGGAGGGGAAAAAACTTTCCAAGATAAGAGCAGTGCAAGGGACAGAAGGTGAAGGCTGATGTGAACAGATGTTACTGCTGTAAGTGAAGGGGCCCTCCAGGAGAGTGGAAAGGGACTTCAGACAAGGAACAGGAGGGACAGGACACAAGGAATGGCTTCCCACTGCCAGAGGGCAGGGTTAGATGGGATATTGGACAGGAATTCCTGCCTGTGAGGGTGGTCAGGCCCTGGCACAGGGTGCCCAGAGAACCTGTGGCTGCCCCTGGATTCCTGGAAGTGTCCAAGGCCAGGCTGGAGCAACCTGGGATAGTGGAAACTGTCTCTGTCCATGGCAGAGGGTGGAATGAGATGATCTTTAATGCCCCTTCCAACCCAAACCATTCCATTAGGTTTTGGCTAAGGGGTCACACATCTTCCTCTCTGTGAATTCCAACAACAGAGGTTTGAAACGTTGAGAAGTCCAGGACTCCCCTGCCTGTTATACCTTAGTCTTCTTGAGATTTCATTTCAAACTGTGAAAGGAAATTGAAAAACAGGAACCAGCTCTGGTTCCTGGCACAGGCCTGAGTGTGTAGAGAGGCCTCCATGAGGGGTTCAGTCCTTCCCATGGATGGACTCCTACAAATTTTCCTGTAGAGCTGTGACCTCTTATACCCAATGCAAGACTACAAAGAGATGACCTTGGTCCTCTGGGTGAAGGATCCCACAGGAATGGCCTCTGGACCCTCAAAGATGTGTCCACACCTGGAAAATGCAGTACAAAGAGGACTGTAACAGCTCCTACACCGGCTTTACATTTAGAAGATTCCTGTTAAGGATCTGAGATGTAAACCTCGCTGGATTTATTCTTGCAGGATCCCCAAATCCCTGCCCTTGTAATAGAAGCCCTTTATGACCCTGATCTCTCTGCATGTAATTTGTTTCTGCAAAAGAATGTGCTCAGTGTTGGGAGAGAGAGAGGTGCACAGGCTGTGTAAGTAGTGGAATCACAGAATCACAGTCACTAAGGTTGGAAAAGACCTCCAAGATCATCAGGTCCAATCTTCAAGAATTCCAGTCCATGCAGGAGTGAGATTTCTCACTGATTTTGCGCCTAAATCCAACTGATTTTTTTGTTGTTGTTTTCATATGTGTCTTTTTTTGCAAGTAGGAACTGAGAGACAAAACAGGAAGGCTCTTCGGGGTGAATTATGACAGAACAAGTTATTTCCCATTATTTGTCATTCATGTGCTTGTCTGTCTGTATTTCATGCTCAAATCTCAGTGATCCAGCTGCTGAGCATCATTCTGAATCTGTGACTTTGTATCTGCCATGGACCTGAAAATTTTGGGGTTAGGGCTCTCCAGACTTTCCTGTTAATATTCCCCTGAAAAAGTTGTTATGGATCTCACACATCTCTGTCCTGAGTAAGGGACTATCAGCCAGGTGAAAAGTGACAGATCCACACAAATCCTTCAGAGCCATCATTCTTACTCCAGTCCCATTTATTTCCCTGGAGTCCAAAAGTGAAATAAGATTCCAAAGCATTTTAATGAGTGGGTTGGATCAGGAAAGTTTTCCAGGTCTCTGCAGGCCTTTATTTGAGAGAGGAATTGCATTTCCAGGTGTGATTTCACAACAGAGTCAGATTTGTGCTGGAGTTACATGGCCACAAGGAAAAGAGGGATTGGACAAATTGTGGCTAAAGCCCCAGTGGATTTGAGAGCCTTCTTCAGCAGCTTAGGTAGCTTTTCTTTCTATCCTTAGCAACACAGCCCTGCTTAACCCTCCAAGCTGTGGTCAGTCATTTTGAGGCCAGTTTGATTGACAGCAGGTAACCTGTTAACATTTTTCCCTGCCTTTTCCAGTGTGTTTGATCCTGCAGGTGGCTGGTTGGATGTGTTGCTTTTCTAAATTATTATTATTTGGTTGGTTTTGTTTTTAATCCCTTGGATATTCCGTAAGAAAAAGTCATCTTGAGCCAGAGGGATGAAGTATTTCAATGTAAGTACAAAAATATGGATTGAGACTTCTCTCTTTTCTCTAAAAAGGTGTATTTGGGTAAGATGAGCATTTTCCTTTGCAGATTAACAGTAGCATTCTCTTCCAACTCTGACCCTTCAAATGGATAATATTAAACTCCTCTGTCTGTTTATATTTTCTTTTTTTTTGGTTGATATTTGGCTTTGTAAGAGCAGATCTGAGAGACCCTCTAGGCTGGGGTGGGTAATCAGCTCTATCACCCAAAACTCAAGGAATAATATTCCTTTAAATTAGTCAACCCATAGCAATTCTATGAAATTATTTCCCAAGAAAAATAGTATTGGGAAAGCATGTTATGGTTTGTCCTGTATTTAATTTTTTTCTGTACTTTTTACAATATGATTTAAAAACTTGAAAAAAAAAAAAGTACAATAAATCCTTGGGAAGCAGTTTAGATTTCTGGGAATGCAGTCAGCATATTGTGGATCACCATTTGTCCAGTGACTACAATTTGGATAATGGCTTTGTTTGGAAATGGTGCTGTCACTGTTTGAAAGCTGCAGTGTGGGGCTTGTGGAGAAAATTTGAACCCACCTTTCTGGAAGCTGTTGGAAAATAGAGAAATGAGATCTTTTTTCCCTGGAAATGATGAGTTGGAGTAATGGATTGACCTTTAACTGGGAAATAAATAAGTGAATAATTGCTTGGTGAAATGTGTACATGGAAAGAATAAATCATACTGAAATCTTTGGGGTGTGCCTGGATGTAAAAAAAAGCAGGGATTTGTCACAATAATGGTTTTTCAAATGATGCCTAATGTCTTTTGTCACCTTGCTGAGCTCAAACTTCCATTTATTGCAGCATTTGCCAGCGTACAACGTGTACAAATATTTTACTTGAGGGTACTGTGGTAAGCATATAATGGTTTTGTTCTAAAATGTAGAGAAATTCAGCATTTACAGCTTTTTGAGTGTTTCAACAGTGACAAAATTCCCATTAATGGCAGTGGGCACCAAATTGATTCCTCAAAGGATAAATTGTGATTATCACAATTATTCAAACTAGAACTTTATTCAGCTGCTGCAAGAGAGGTACCCAGGAGCAAACTGAATGAACCATTCAATTATAAATACATTAACTGTTTTCTAATTCATTTGTGAGCACTAAAAGAATTTCCTTTCTTGTAAGATATTTTTTGAAAGTTACCATAGAAAACTGATACCAACTAAGAACAGAATTTGAAAAATAAATTTAATGGTGTTTGTGGCCAAAAACCCCTTCTGCAAGTTGCAATTCTACTGATTCCTTACTAACAATTCAAATTATTTCCTATCTGTGAGCAGATAAATGACCTGAAGATTACATATCTAAGTGCCATTTTTAGAGTCTCCATTGAAGTCTGAGTAATTAACTCAGAGTAAACTGGAGAATCACTGCTTATTTCATGAAATAAATGTATTGTGCTCATTGCAGCCAGTTATAAAAATAGTGTTATTTCTTTAATTTTTTTCATGTCAAAACCAAGTTGTCTTCTTTTTTGGGCATAATAATTTCAATCCATGTGAGGTATAAATTTTTTAGCAACTGGCTTCCATGGCAATGGATTTAACAAGGGCAAGTAATAAGGAGTCTTGTCTTCATCGGGACAGTACATTAAAACCACTTGTGTTCAAAATGTGGCATGCAACCACCAGACTGAAACACCAAAATCAGTTTATCTTTTAAAAATTGGGCAGACAATCCCAACCAATCTCCAATTTTCCCACCCTTTAGCAGAACCAAGTTTTCTAGTCCTATTTGATGCCTTGTGCTATTTGTTACTTGTTTGCATAATTGCCAGAAATTTTTCATCCAGAACTCAGCACATTATGGCATGGTCTGTTCTAAAACCAGACTGCTCTGCCCCTCAGTGAGCTCAGGATTGATTGTGTGCTACAAAATATAATCACAACATGAAGAAATTCAGCTTTGTTTTGCTTTTTGTTATGCTCCAGTCCATGGGGTTAAAGGGTTACATGAGAATCTCAGTGCTGTGCTTGTAAAAATAAATTCAAAGTAATCACTGGCTCTGATAATTTCAGAGAAAACCTCAAAAATATAAGCAAGGAAGACACAAAACTCCAAAGGAAACAATGCACTTTTTGTGGGTTTTGCTTGGGGTCTGACTCATGTTTTTTATGCCTGAGGGGTGACCGACACTGACTGGATTCCCACTGGAATCTGCAGGACCAGGAGGGTTTGACTGTGAGGAGCAGGGTTATGGATGCTCTTCCTGCTGTGCTTCCCTGTTCCTGCCTGATCCATGAATTCCTAAGAGCCCTTGGTACAATCTGCTCATGACGGAGCTGTTGTGAGGAGCACAAACCTTGCTCCCACAACAATCAGGCCCTGATCCTTCCTAACTCAAACAAACCCCACTCTGTTTTTTCCTTCTCTTTGTAGTTACCTTTAAGCAAGAGGGATGACTCAGGTGCCTGCTGACTACCTGTCAACCACCAGCTCCTACAACTATGAGCCACCCCTCCCCTCCGTGGCTCGGGCCAGCACCCTCACCAAGGTCCCTCCAGCCAAGAAAATAACCTTCTTCAAGAGTGGAGACCCTCAGTTTGCGGGAGTCAAGATGGCCATCAACCAGCGGAGCTTCAAGAGCTTCAACGCGCTCATGGACGACCTCTCCCATCGGGTCCCGCTGCCCTTCGGGGTCCGGACCATCACGACCCCACGAGGAATACACTGCATCAGTGAGCTGGACCAGCTGGAGGATGGAGGGTGCTACCTGTGCTCCGACAAGAAGTACGTGAAGCCCATCAGCATCACCTCCGGGGGACACAGGCCGGCCCCGCCGCGGAGCGGTCGCCCCTCCAGCACCATGAGGAGAGCGGCTCAGGAGGGCAAGCTGGAAGATTATTCTGCACCTTTCACTCACCATGGCCCCAGAATACCCAAGAAAATCACTCTGGTTAAGAATGGGGAAAGCGGATTTCGGCGTTCCATCATCCTGAACCGCAGAAATGCCCGGAGTTTCAAAACGCTCCTGGATGAGATCACGGAGATCCTGCAGTTCCCGGTGAAGAAGCTCTACACTATTGATGGGAAGAAGGTAAATATCTCTGGTGCTGGTCAATTGCTCAAACAGGAATCATCACGTTCCTTGTGATGTAAATCCTTTAGCTCATGGGTCCAAAAGTTTATCCACCTTACCTTAATCCTTCAGGCTTTGTCACATTAATCACTTGACCATTAATTACACAATAGTTTGATGCAGAAGAATCTTGTTCAGCCACTCAAGACTGAACTTCATGCCAAATATTGTTTGGGGTCAATAGGAGGTTTAATATTTTGCAGTCAGATATAAACCCCCTTCTAGTTACAGTGTTTCTCACCTTTTTTTGGGAGGCATGTCCCAACACATGTTCAACTTTTCCATACCTGACCACTGGGAATTCAGCAGAATAAGGTGGCCTTTAGGTAGCACCCTGTGGTTGCACAGCTCCCCACAGAACAGGGTCCTGCTCATGATGTGGGATCCTCAACAGAGATGATAAGATAACCAATGATGATAAGATAAAATAAGATAAGATGCGGCGGTTTCAGTTCAAAACTGGGCAGAACACATCCATGACACATGATATGATAAGATCACCAATTAATGCATAAAAAAATAATGTTTGAATGGGATGAAGAGACACTTTCCTATTGATGAATTAGTGAATCTGCTGTGGGGGAAATTCTTATGATAAATTCAAGGCATGGCAATCCCTTCATTCTTATGTTCCCAAAGGAATTTCTGGACAAACCTGAGATTCTCTTGACTTCTTCTCCATCTCTTTTTAGCTAATTAACCTTTACTTCCATTTTTTGAAGGGATCTCACAAGTTATCCTGACTTGTCCCTGTCCCTGCAGTGAATGGAGATTCCCAGCTCCTTTGCCACTTTTCCCACCTTTACAGGGCTGAGTGCCAGCTCCTCAGTGGTAAAAACACAACCACTTGTGGTATCACTTTCTGAGCCAGGTGACTGAAATGACCTGGGTTCAAATGGCCCATTATCCAGGAGGGGAAAAATGTAGGAATATTTTGCAATAAATTCATTTTTACCTGGCAGAGAGAGAGGAATATGCAATAGGAAGGAGAGAGGGAGGGGATAATTCCTGGTGGAAGCCCTGTGTATTATCACAGAGCTTTCTGCTATTCTCACCAGTCTGGAAAGAGCTTCCAACCAAACCAAATCCTGCTGCCAAGATATTTTATAACCTATGGAAAACTAACTTATTTTGCCACAGATTTCTCGAGTTTTCAAGACTTGGACTCCAGCTCAGTCCAGAGGAACATAATAATCTTGTGAACGGATAGCAACTTCCTCTTCTTCACCTTTTGAGAATTTTCACTGATGTCTCAAAAGAAATGTTTTTCTTTCTACTTCTTAGTACAGTCTTAATGCTCCCCTTGTAATTCCTAAATTAATTCCCCACAATTTTCCTTCTAGTTATTATAAACACCAATATTTTAGGTGAGATATGTGTTAAATATGCAGTCTCTAGACACAATACCCTCAACTCAATGTTCCAGAGGTCTTTTCCAACCTTCCCATGTTTGCCACCAGCAGAAATGTGAGTGTGGGTCAAATACCATCGCTTAATCTCTCCACAGTCCCTTCAGATTCTATTTTTTTAATATGAAAATTTTCATTACTGTTTTGTCAATAAGGAGTTGATTTTTATGCCTTAATAATTCTATTTTCACACCTTTAATTCCTGTGCAGAATATCACAGTGATAGGTGACAAGGGGTCCAACCTCAGCCACATCATCATCTTCCACATAATTAGGAGATGTGTGATTATTAATACCATTCCTGGGAATCTTTTACAGTGAATTTTTTGGCCATTATTAATTTTCGTAATTTACCTCCAGCTTTCAAAGTGTTTACTACTGTTCACTTAACAACCATTTCTATTAGGGCTTCCTGTTACTCTAGGCTTGGGTGTAAAGCATTTAAACTACAAAAAATTCACTCTGTCTTGGATTTTACCAATCCTTTTACTTTCACATGGATTCTCTGTTCTTCTTCTAAGTTTTTGTGTCATAGCTCAGCTTCAAGACCTCTGTTTCTGATACACAGTCGATTGTGTCTGAGTTTTCATCAGATATAACTGTTTCATTGAGGAGTGAAAATTGTGAATTCAACTCACAGTTTTGAGCTTTCCTGAGATAACCTCCTTCCACTGGTGCTGGAGTTTAATTTTAGCTGCACATCTTGTCTTTATACTTAAATTTGCATTTTCTGTTAAACACACAGGAAAGAAGCTTCCATTCTTCCATGATCATTCAAAGGTATCTGGATGTTTCATATTTCTTGGGTATTTCCTTTTTTCTTGCTTTATTCTCTTTGAAGAATAAATCAAATTCTCTTTAAATAATTTTGTAAACTTCTTTTATCCCAATTATCTGTGTAATTTTTTCCCCCATGACTTAGCACAGAGATCTTTCTGGGAAAGAGGGCTGGGATTGAGTGGAACAGTAACTTTTGATATTTATTCCCATATTTTGACAGATTAGCAGAATAATTCCTAAGCAATGCATCTGGACAACTGATGGATTGACTTTGTATTTGACTGGCTCAGAATAACAAAATTCACACCATTTACTAGCAGGTTCACAATGTTTATTTTTTCAGCCAGTTTTTCCTTGAATTCTTGAAAACCAAACACAAAAAAGGGGAAAAATCTCCTGTCTTGCATGTTAATCAATCTTCCATCAGTGGAAGAGATTTTCATAGACTTCAGAGTGTTTGCTCTTCAATGTCCTTTTGTTTCTTCTACTACTGTAATTCCAGATCTGAACTTAAATCCCAAAATGAGTTTAATCACCTCTGTCCAAAATTCCTGGCTCTCTTTTCATCTGCTCCATTTTAATATTCTCACCATTTTATAGAGTAAATTCAGGACACTTTGAAATTACAAATCTTTATGTGGGTATAAACTTAGACACACATGGAACAGGCTTCTTTTGTGTTCCTTTCACAGAGTATTGATTCGAGAAAGCAGAGAAAAGGGATTTCTTCCTTTTGTAGTCCACAAATTTTTCCAGTACACCTCTAAGTTTAATTCAATCATAACTCAAAGTAAAATCATAGAATCTGAGAATTTTAAAGCCCTGATTCCCACAGAAGTACATCCAGTTTGGTTCTACTGGTATTTGCATACTTGTATTTTCATTCTAACTCCTGAAGGCTTGAGTGAGGGGAAACCAGTATTTTGAATTCCTAAACATCAAGCAGATTTCCTACTAGGAAATCCTAATCCCACTGAAGAAAGTAGGTTGAAATGTTTGACTACTCATTTCATCAGGGCAAATAGCCCATTTTCCCAAATTAACCAAGATTTTTCTTGCCTAGAAATTTGATGACTATGGATCTGGAGGGAAATTTAGTTCAGTTTTCTGTAAGCAAAATCAGTAAAATTTTCAGCAAGAAGAGAATTGTAAATCATAAATTTTTTTTCAGGTCAAGCCATTCTTTGATGTTTTCCAGGTGATTAACTGGAAATAATTGGATTAACTGCCCAAATAGAGAAATTTTCTATTTAGGTTAACATTGACATGCAACCAATTGCCCAGTGAAACTCTGTGCACATTTTCCCACTAAAAAGCAGACAATCCTGGATGTAATTCATTAATTAATCTAGATCTGATTGTCTTACGAGGCATTTGGGATGGGGGGGACATTTTGCCTTTTGGACCCCCTTTATTAATTATAGAACAAAGGAAGACTGACTGAGACTAGTAAATTAAGCTAGGCCTAAGTTTTCATATACCAGTGGCAAAGTACTAGAGATATTTAGATATTGGAAACACAAGTGTGGGACTTTACACCCACTAGCTGATGAGATGGTTGGAAATCACGTATTTCCTAGTTTTTACTGACAACATCAGTTCTACACCAAAAAAAGAACCAGGTGTGCAGATATCTCACTAAAAAGAATAATTGTAGGTTATCTTCTCCATCAAATGACCTTTTGACTCCATTCTGGGAAGTTTTTATACCACGTAGTGGCTTTTCTTCCTCATGGTCTAAACCACAGGAATGCACCTCTCTTCAGATCCCCACCACCCGCCTCTGGAGAGGGAAGGATGTCTCTGGGGCAAAGAGACAGAGATCACAGAAAGGGCAGAAATCCTCCCAGGCTGTAAGAAATGACGTGTAGGATAATGAGGCAGCGACAGAGGATTTCCCTTACAAATGGCAATTATCCAGGGCCCACCAGCTGAACAGTCATTAAGACTTTGTTAAGTCACAGGAACCCAGCACCATGACTGTGTCCAGGCACAGATGTCCTGATTACTGAATCACTAGGCCTTCCTTTTACTGGCTGTCCTGAATTAAAACAAAAACCAAACCAAACTCTTCCTTAAAAGCCAACGTTCCTCCTCACATGGCGTTTGAAACCACACTGTGAGATGGCAAATACTCTACATAGTTCATGGCTGCTGGTGGAAATTACCAAGAGCAGCTCAAGTGGGATTTATCAGCCCTCAGAAGAGTTTTCCAGGGGATGTGGCCAGTTTTATGTTTGCTGGAGTGAGGCCAAGGCCGAGATGTTTTTTGTTTGGGCGCACTCAAGGCTGACCGTAAGTTGTTACATTAAATGAGTGAATCTGATCCGGTTTTGTTGTGTGGAAAGGTCGAGTGGGAGACCAGAAAGACTCGATTTTGCCTCAGATTCTGCAAGTGAGAAACGTTGCAGAAGGAGCACTGTGTGCCACTGAATTTCCTTGAGGGATCAGAGAATTGCTGTACAGGTTAATCAGGGGAGCAATCGCGAGTTAAGGAATGTTTCCTCAGGCACCACAAACTGGGGACTGTAAAGAATTAGTTACTAGAAACTCCTTGGGGTAAGAACCCTCAGTTTTCTCTTGTGTTTTTGCCAAATTTGTGAAATTTGGCATGAGCTGCACTTAGGCAAGACCAACCATTCTGGGGCAAAGCAAGCCATCTTTGACCATGTCCCAGTCTTGGACAAAGACAGAATTGCCCAAATGAAGTGACTCCTTCCCTGGTGCATCTTTCCGATCTCCAGTAACCTGTAGGATAAGATCTTCAGC